GGAGCATTGACGTGTGGTGGATCGTGCACGATGGTGGCACGCTCATGCTGCTGCCCTTCCTCCTGCGCCAGCACAAGGTGGGTGGCAGGGGCGGCTCCCAGCAGCTCCGAGGCTGAGCAGGTGCCTGCTCCCCAGGTGTGGCGCAAGTGCCGGATGCGCATCTTCACAGTGGCCCAGGAGGACGACAACAGCATCCAGATGAAGAAGGACCTGCAGACGTTCCTGTACCACTTGCGGATCAGCGCCGAGGTTGAGGTGGTAGAGATGGTGAGCGCAGGCCCAGCTACAGGAATGCAGCTTGTACCCCTCTTTGGCACCTGGCGTGGCCACAGCACGCTGCTCACTCCCAGGGAGCAGCTCGGTGCCTCCCTGTGCTGTGTGCCTGGACACCCTTGGGCCCCTGTGCAGGGCCCCACATTGCATGGGAAAATTGCTTTTTGGGGGGGGAGAGGGACAGAGTATCACTTTGTTGCTCTCAGTGGAGTGCTGTGACATCCTGGCTCGTAGCAATGTCAAACTCTGGGGCTCAAGTGATTCTCCTTGTCTCTGCCTGCCAGGTAGCTGGAGCTACAGGCACCCACCATAACACCCTGCAATTTTTAGAAACAGGGTCTTGTTCTTGCTCAGGCTGGTCTGGAACCCATGAGCTCAGGCAGTCCACCTACCTACCTTGGCCTCCCAGAGTGTTAGGATTACAGATGTGAGCCACTGCCGAGCCAGGACAACTGCCTTATGCTCATGGCTTTTTAACTGCAAGTGAGAGGGGCATTTCTTCATGTTGTTACTGATGACATTTTAGGTTCCTTGTGTCAGTCCTATGAACTTGATTATTCGTTATTTTTTTTTCTTCTTACTCTGTAGGGATTTTTATTTTTTTATTTTTGGTAACAGGGTCTCACCCTGTGGCCCAGAGCTCCATGGCCACTGCTCTCCACAGCCTCAAACTCCTGGGTTCCTGCGCAACTCCTGCCTGGGCCTCCCAAGGCACTGAGTCTGCAGGCACGAGGCCCACAGATGCAAGGATGTGGCCCTTGTCACCCACTGGGTCTTCTTCTTCCATCCAGCTTTGTATAGTGGGTTTGGGGTCTGCTACTTTGTTGCAAGCACCGGGTTTCCAAGTAATGTTCCTCCTGGTGTGACTTCTGGATTCAGGACCTTGTTTGAACAGGCTTCTGCCTTCCAAGGCTATGGAGTCACTTGTCATAGCTTTTGCTTATGAGGTCCCCACTGTGGAGTTGCCTTGTGCATGTTACTGGTTCGTTTTTGTTTGTTTTTAAACAGTGTCACTCTTGTCACCCAGGCTAGAGTACTGTGTTGTCATAGCTCACAGCAACCTCAGACTCCTGGGCTCAAGCAATCCTCATGCCTCAGCCTCCTGAGTAATGGGACTACAGGTGTCTGCCACCACACCTGCCTAATCTATTTTTAGTAGAACTTGGTTAGCTGGTCTTGAGTTCATGACCTCAAGCTAACCTCCTGCCTGGCCTCCCTGAGTGCTGGGATTATAGGCATAAGCCACTATGCCCAACTGGTGTTACTGGTTTTAATAATCATTCCAATAACATTATTTCCAAGTTATGAAACAAAATGCTGCCTGGCCTGGTGAAGCAAGGCCGAGCCTGTGCACCAGCAGCCCCCACCGAGCTTGTGTCCCAGCCTCCCCACCCCTGCATATCTGCTCCCACGGCGTACCAGCCCCCTCCCTAGTCTGCGTACCAGTGCCCCACCCCTGCCCCTCAGCCCCTGTGGCTAGAGGCTGCATGTGACTCCTGCATGGGGTTTGTCTGTCCTGGAGCCCAGGGCACCTGTGCTTTGGGTCTGTACCCAGAGCAGCAAGTCTGGAGGGATATGTGGGCCAGGGTTAACAGGGATGTTTGGTCTGATGCCTGGTTTTTTATGCTGTGCTGTGGAACTGTCTAGGTTGAAAATGACATTTCTGCGTTCACCTATGAAAAGACTCTGATGATGGAGCAGAGATCCCAGATGCTGAAGCAAATGCAGCTGTCCAAGAACGAGCAAGAGAGAGAGGTGGGTCCAGAGCCTCAAAGCCCCTCCCAGAGTGCGCAAGGCTGCCGAGGCCAGAACTATGGCGGGGAAGGTGGTGGTCAGAGGTGGAGAAAGGGGTGCTGGCTGCCCCCACACACCGACACACAGGCACACAGACACAGATAGATGTAGACATGTAGACACACAGATAAACAAACACACAAAGACATGTACACATGCAGACAGACACGCAGACATGTACACATGCAGACACAGACACCTACACATGCAGACACAGACACCTACACATGCAGACACAGACACA